TACGCAAGATTTACTCGGGGAGAAAACAAAGTCAATCTGTGACTCGATAATTTAGTTTTTTAATCATTCTATGAACACTCTAAAAGTAATTTCCCTTTTATTATTTACAAAAATTACTTAACAGAAGGGAAGGAAGCAACCACTTGTTACTATTCTACTATGTAGTTATAAATGCAGACAGTTGGAAGACTCCCCACACATACATGGGGAGAATTAGCAAAATCACACACACATAACTCACACATAAATGGATGAGCAGTGAATGTGTAATAAGAGCATGCATAAAAAGATGAAAGGAAATAATTGTAAATACTTTTAATTGTACATATATCGGCCAGTGAATCCGAAAAGAAAAGAAAATTTCTTGATGGAGTAAAATTAGCTTGGGGTCAGATGATTAATATAATATTTCTGTTCATAAATGGTCAATTTGTAACCCCCAGAACAGAATTACTGTTTTGGTCACTGAGAATCAAATAGGTCAGTTTAGAAACAGACCCTTGAGTGATTTCACACAATCTCACTGTGATGTGAATGTTTTAGCAAAATCAATGCCACGTATACACACTTAGCTTTATATGACAATACTGCCATTTCCGTGATCACACATCTTCCAGTTTGAGTCTTTTCGTGTTGAGATTAAGATTGCTAAAGTAGCCTAGTTTATATATATATTATACTCTGTGGAACAAACTGCCTCATAACATCTTGACTGCTAATACGAAAGGTGCATTTAAAACACTTCTAAAAAAATATTTTGTTGGAAGCCGTCATTCATGAATATTTGTGTACAGATTGTAATGTAAAGTGGAATTATTCGAAATGTATAATTGTTCTTATGATGTTGTCATTTAATATGTTTTGTGTATCTATATCATTTTTAAAAGGACCCCAGGAAGAGTAGCTGTCAAATGACTGACAGCTAATGGGGATCCAAATAAATAACGATATATATATATATATAACGATTTTTGCAAATCCTTCTGTGCAAGGCCATGACTTGATGTAGGCACTGTGAAAGAATCTCAGAGCTGTGAATACAATAAAAACATCCCCTGACCTTCAACAGCCGTGCATCACAGCAACCACAAGTGCAAAATGAAGTTCTCATAAGCCTTTCAGAGTTTCTTTTTTGTGCTTCTCTCTGCAGTCTTAAAGAGGAAGATACTGTATATCAGAGAGTGTACTGAACTTAAAAGCTACTATGAATCCTTATGGGTTTAATTAAAAGAATTGCATTAATATGCATTGAATGATATATTCATTTTTTTTTATCATGGGGTTGTCAGCATGGATAGGGTGTACAGGTGGGATTGGAAATAGTACAACAAAATGTGGGCATGTTTTACCTTCAAAATAAGAATAAGCATGACAGCATCATTTAGAAAAAATAATAATAATAAATTCACATCAATCATGAGAAACGACAACGGCACAAATGACAGCGTCGATGTAAATCGTGCTTTCTTTTTTTGGTAAAACAATTTCTCAATATGAATATAGAATAATTCCGTTGAATTCCTGAGTCTTATTTTTCTCCTGCTGAAACAAGTGCTATTTTCCCAGTCCTGTTCACAGGGGACCTGATGTACATCGTGGATAGGAAAAATTGATCTCTATCTGTCGTCATGGTCACTTCGGGCCAGCTTTAACACATTTAATGGAGTGTTTTTAGAGGCTCAGTCTCAGGTCAGGTTAGAGCCTTTTCATTTTTCCTAATAGCACTATGGACTGGAGAGAGCCCCACAATATTTTCAAATGGAAGCAGAAGCTAGGTCAAATATAAATGACAAGTGAAGGTTTAATCCCAAACTCCATCCATAATTCAGATTATTTTTT